GTGTCTCTTGCCATGTGCCACTTTAGGTTCTCCACACTGCTGTTGTGTTCATTTTTTGTCATCGGGTGCTGGCGATTACGGGCCTTCCATTGCTGTGCCAGGACCGTATAATCTTGCCATGGGGCCCTGTACCCGCCTCCTCATAGCTGCTAGCCAGGTCCAGAGTCCTCTCATGGGTCCCTGTACGGCCTCCCATTGCTGCTTGTCTCCATCGGCCACACTCCTGCCATGTGCCACTTTCAGGTCTCCTCACACACTGCTGGTGTGTTTCCATTTTTTGTCATAGGGTGCTGGCAGATTACGGGCCTCCCATAGCTGCGTGCCAGGCCCCTAATCTGGCCATGGGCCCCTGTACCGCCTCCTCATGCTGCTGCCAGGTCCACAGTGTCTCATGCCATGGTGGCCACTTTCAGGTCCTCACCACTGCTGTTTGTGTTCCATTTTTTGTATAGGGTGCTGGCAGATTAGAGGCCTCCCATTGCTGCTGCATGCCCGTAAATCTGACCAATGAGTGTGAGGGGCCCCTCTGTACCGCACATCCTCATGCTGTGCCAGGTCCAGAGTCTCTTCATGGGTCCTGGTTACGGCTCTCATTGCTGCTGTCTCCATCGTCACACTCTGCCATGTGCCACCTTAGGTCATCACACACTGGCTGGTGTGTTCATTTTTTGTCATAGGGGGCTGGCAGCTACGGGTTGCCCCATTTGCTGCTGCCAGGTCCGCCCCTAATCTTCCTCATGGGCCCTGTACCGCACCTCATGCTGCTGCAAGGTCACCATGTGTCTCCTGACAATGTGCCACTTTCAGTCTTCCTCACATTGCTGTTGTGTTTGTTTTTTTTGTATTCCATTTGTTGTCTAGGGTGCTGTACGAGGGCCTTCCATTGTGCTGCCAGGCCCGTAATCATAATGGGCCCCTGTACCGGCCTCTCATGCTGCTGCAGGTCCAGAGTTTGGGTCCCTGTTACGGCCTCCCATAGCTGCTGTCCTCCATTGCCGTTCACTCGCATGAGGTGCCACTTTCAGGTTCTCACACATGCTGGCCCCTGTGTTCCAGTTTTTGTATAGGGTGCTGGCAGATTTACGGGCCCCATAGCTGCTGCCAGGCCCCTAAGTCAATGCCATGGGAACACCCCTGTACAAAACGCCTCCTCATGTGCTGCCAGGTACCTCCCAGTGTCTCATGCCATGTGCCACTTTCAGGTCTCCTCACACTGCTGGTGTGTTCCACTTTTTTGTCATAGGGTGCTGGCAGATTACTCCATTGCTGCTGCCAGGCCCCTAATCTGCCATGGGGGCCCCCTGTATCCGCCTCCTCATGCTGCTGCCAGGTCCCGAGTCTCTCTTGGGTCCCTGTACGGCCTCCCATTGCTGCTGTCTCCATCGCCACACTCTGCATGTGCCACTTTCAGGTCTCCTCACACTGCTGGTGTGTTACATTTTTTGTCATAGGGTGCTGGCAGATTACGGGCCTCCCATTGCTGCTGCCAGGCCCGTAATCTGCCATGGGCCCCTGTACCGCCTCTTCATGCTGCTGCCAGGTCCAGAGTGTGTCATGGGTCCCTGTACGGCCTCCCATTGCTGCTGCCAGGAGGCAGCAGGGTCTTCGCAGCACTCTGTCAGTGGAGGCAAACGGCCAGGGTAGAGCACCAGCTCCACTGCAGCTTACCACCACTGGCCATAGTGGTGCCGGTGTGCACGGAGGAAGTAGCAGTCAGCCAGTGAGGAGTAGCGGGGGCAAAGTTTCCTACTCGGCGGTGTGGCAATTTTTTCGTCAAGCCGCCCGAGGAAGTAAACGTAGCCGTACTGTCGACTATGTGGCAGAAAGTCAAAGCGTGGCCAGGGGGTCCCATGTTGGGACTACAGCGTTGCGTCAGCATATGCAGCGTCGCCATTCGGTGGCCTGGGAAAACCGTGATAAAGATATACGGCGGTTCTGCCTGACCCCAGCAGGGTTCCCATTTTGTCATAGGGTGCTGGCAGATTACGGGCCTCCCATTGCTGCTGCCAGGCCCTTAATCTGCCATGGGCCCCAGTACCGCCTCCTCATGCTGCTGCCAGGTCCAGAGTCTCTATGGGTCCCTGTACGGCCTCCCATTGCTGCTGTCTCCATCGCCACACTCTGCCCATGTGCCACTTTCAGGTCTCCTCACACACTGCTGGTGTGTTCCATTTTTTGTTCATAGGGTGCTGGCAGATTACGGGGCCTCCCATTGCTGCTGCCAGGCCTGTAATCTGCCATGGGCCCCTGTACCGACTCCTCATGCTGCTGCCAGGCCTGTAATCTGTCATGGGCCTGTTGTCGCTTGTTGGCATATTCCGCTCGTTCAGATGCTCCTTCTCCTGCTACTCCTCTTCACGGTTTCCGTCAGCAGTCTTTCTTTCTTGGAATCCGTTTCCAAGAGACAACAGTTTGCGAGCACGCACCCGATCGGTGCAGAAGCTGAACGTCCTCCCTGTCCAAGTTGCTGCTGCCAGGCATCGTAATCTGTTATGCGCCCCTGTACCGCCTCCTCAATGCTGCTGCCAGGTCCAGAGTGTGTCATGGGCCCCGTACCGACTCCTCATGCTGCTGCCAGGCCCGTAATCTGTCATGGGCCCCTGTACCGCCTCCTCATGCTGCTGTCAGGTCCAGTGAGTGTGTCATGGGTCCCTGTACGGCCTCCATTGCTGCTGCCAGGCCCGTAATCTGCATGGGCCCCCGTACCTACTCCTCAATTCGACTCGAATCGAAATTTTTTCACGAATTCGCCGAATCAGTCGAATCGAATTTTTGAATAATTTGCTCATCTCTAGTTATAGCGTCTACAAACTATGGTATAGATACTGCAAGTTACGCCATTTTTTTGCTATACAGCGCTGCGCTAGTTTAACGGACAATTGCGCGGTCATGCAATACGGTACATAAATGAAGTTTATGTCCTTTTTTCACACAAATAGAGCTTTCTTTTGGTGGTATTTGATCGCCTGTGCGTTTTTTTATTTTTTGCACTATTAAAAAAAAAAGGCTGACAATTTTGAGAAAAAAAAAACAATATTTTGGACTTTTTGCTATAAAACATGTCCAGTAAAAAAAAATTTAAAAATCAAATTTCGTCATAAATTTCAGCCAAAATGCATTCTGCGACATGTCTTTGCTAAAAAAAAACCCAATACGTGTTAATTAATTGGTTTTTGTGAAAGTTATAGCGTTTACAAATGTCAGGAAAGATACTCGGATTTTTTTTTTTTATACTAATAATGGCGGCGATCAGGGACTTATGGCGGCGATCAGTGACTTATGGTGGCGATCAGCGACTTATGACAGGACTGCGGCGGACATTCTAACACTGGGGGGGAACTGACTTGGGGTCACTGACATCCCCAGTGACACCAATACAGTGATCAGTGCAAAAAAAGAACACTGACACTGTACTAATGGCACGGGGGAGGAAGTGGTTAACTTTTTTATTCACTGAAAGGGTTAACTGTGTGAGGGGAGTGTTTTACTAGGGGGCGGGGGTGTGTACTGCACGGGGACATGCTGATTGGGAGAGATAAACTCTTCTCTCCTGATCAGCGTGTCAGGAGCTGTCAGGGAACTGACAGAAAGCAGAGCTACTGCAGCCCTGCTCTCTGTCAGTGATTGCCGCTAATCGGCAGGACACGGCCGGTAATGACTGGCCTTGACCTGGCGACTGACACCCGCGGCCAGGATCGGCGGTGCAGGTAGATCGGCAGTGCAGGTAGGAGGGCGGCGGCACGCCCCGCGCGTGCCCCCTACCTGTTTTGCAAACGCACATTTTAAAACGTGCTTTTGCCCAGCCGTGCCGCCCTGCCACCGTATTTCTACAGTGGCTGGGCAGCAAGTGGTTAATAGGTTAAAACCATTAGCAATAAAACTCTTATCCATCATTCAATATATAGATACAGTATATATATATATGTGTGTACACAATTTGTATGTTGGCCTATCATAATTGACATATCTGCTAGGTGATTAGATGAGGGCAACATTGCAGGGTGTGTGTTCATACTTTTTCCTTGGGTATATGGGATTCCCATCAATGTATGTGCATAGCTCTATCTAGTGGCCATTTACTGAATTTATAATAATTTACTATCAATTACATATATTTAAGATTTTTTTTATTTTATCAATTATTGTCCAGGTAATGGTCATGAATCCCCACATATATTGATATATTGTCTTTTATTATTATCCATTAGTACTTTATTCTTTGGGGTAAGCCCTGTTAATATATATATATATATATATATATATAATACTGAATGAGTTCCTTTGTTTTTATTATCTTGTTATCATTTTGATCATGTTCTAAATGTATGAAGGTTATCTAAGCACTTGCACCAATTTTAATATTTCCTCCAACAGCTTGCTTACAGCTCTCTAGTACATGTACAGTGGGGATCGAAAGTTTGGGCACCCCAGCTAAAAATTTGTATTAATGTGCATAAAGAAGCCAAGGGAAGATGGAAAGATCTCCAAAAGGCATCAAATTACAGATTAGACATTCTTATAATATGTCAACAAAAGTTAGATTTTATTTCCATCATTTACACTTTCAAAATAACAGAAAACAAAAAAATGGCGTCTGCAAAAGTTTGGGCACCCTGCAGAATTTATAGCATGCACTGCCCTCTTTGCAAAGCTGAGACCTGCCAGTGTCATGGATTGTTCTCAATCATCGTCTGGGAAGACCAGGTGATGTCAATCTCAAAGGTTTTAAATGCCCAGACTCATCTGACCTTGCCCCAACAATCAGCACCATGGGTTCTTCTACGCAGTTGTCTAGAAAACTGAAACTGAAAATAGTTGACGCTCACAAAACTGGAGAAGGCTATAAGAAGATAGCAAAGCGTTTTCAGATGTCAATATCCTCTGTTGGGAATGTAATTAAGAAATGGCAGTCATCAGGAACAGTGGAAGTTAGAGCAAGATCTGGAAGACCAAGAAAAATATCAGACAGAACAGCTCGCAGGATTGTGAGAAAAACAATTCAAAACCCACGTTTGACTGCAAGATCCCTCCAGAAAGATCTGGCAGACACTGGAGTTGTGGTACACTATTCCACTATAAAAAGATACTTGTACAAATATGGTCTTCATGGAAGAGTCATCAGAAGAAAACCTCTTCTACGTCCTCACCACAAAAATCATCATTTGAACTTTGCAAATGAACATATAGACAAGCCTGATGCATTTTGGAAACAGGTTCTGTGGACCGATGAGGTTAAAATTGAACTTTTTGGCCGGAATGAGCAAAGGTACGTTTGGAAAAGAAGGGGCACAGAATTTAATGAAAAGAACCTCTGTCCAACTGTTAAGCATGGGGTTGGATCAATCATGCTTTGGGGTTGTGTTGCAGCCAGTGGCACAGGGAACATCTCACGAGTAGAAGGAAAAATGGATTCAATAAAATTTCAGCAAATTTTGGATGGTAACTTGATGCCATCTGTGAAAAAGCTGAAGTTAAAGAGAGGATGGTTTCTACAAATGGATAATGATCCTAAACACACCTCAAAATCCATGGGGGATTACATCAAGAGGTGTAAAATGAAGGTTTTGCCATGGCCTTCACAATCTCCTGACCTCAACATAATTGAAAATCTATGGATAGACCTTAAAAGAGCAGTGCGTGACAGACAGCCCAGAAATCTCAAAGAACTGGAAGACTTTTGTAAGGAAGAATGGGCAAAGATACCTCAAACAAGAATTGAAAGACGCTTGGCTGGCTACAAAAAGCGTTTACAAGCTGTGATACTTCCCAAAAGGGGGCAGTACAAGATATTAACTCTGCAGGGTGCCCAAACTTTTGCAGACGCCATTTTTTTGTTTTCTGTTATTTTGAAAGTGTAAATGATGGAAATAAAATCTAACTTTTGTTGACATATTATAAGAATGGCTAATCTGTAATTTGATGCCTTTTGGAGATTTTTCCATCTTTCCTTGGCTTCTTTATGCACATTAATACAAATTTTTAGCTGGGGTGCCCAAACTTTCGATCCCCACTGTAGAGGTGGCCACACATCAGGCTTTGACAAAGGAGCTGGGCAGCTCTGAAATGCGTTAGCCATGCCCCTTTGAGTTCACAGCACTTAAATCACTTCCAGTCAGCGAGGCTCGGCATCCTATGACCCTGGATTGGCCCTCTGTTGCTGGGAATACAGCATCTTCCAGTACCAGGCTAAAGTGGTGGATCCCTTGCATACTTTAAGTCTTTTGGATGCAGAGACTCATCAGCACTGTGTGTGGTAAACACTTGTTCTTCTATTACCAGCCACTGCACCACCTGCCTGGAGTTTACATGTTCTCCCTGTGCCTGCGTGGGTTTCCTCTGGGTACTCCGGTTTCCTCCCACAATCCAAAGACATGCTGGTAGGTTAATAGGCTCCTGTCTAAATTGTCCCTGTGTATGTATGAATGTGAGTAAGGGACCTTAGAGTGTATGCCCCTTGAGGGTTAGGGACTGATGTGAATGTACAATATATATATGTGTAAAGCGCTGCGTAAATGGACGGCGCTATATAAGTACCTGAAATAAATAATAATAAATAATTACACATGAGTTGCTAATTGTGACGTTTAGTTTCATGCTGCCCCTAGATTGGCATTCTTTGTTTTTTGTTCTTTGAGCAGTGATTATGTACACTATCTGAAACACCTAATTTTAGGCCACATGCACACTGGGCATCTGAAAGCCCATCTGAATGCCAAAACTGCTGGTAGAAAACGCCAACATAAAAACAGGCTTAAAGCCACATTTTGCAAGCACGTTTAGGTTAATTTTTAATACACTCTCTTCTGCTCATTTTTTGCACTCAAATACCCACAATGCAATGCAGATGTTCATTTACTTTTTTATTCCATTCTCACAGACAGCAGAGAGGTAGCTGTCTCTCTTCGCTGCATTCAGCATGGATCTCATTATCAACAAGACAAATTAAGTAGTCCTGCTGATTTTATTGAGGAGGTGAGAAGACAGAGAGAAGTGGAAGAGAAGATCTCCAGTCATAACTGCCGGACACATCCTTTCTTGTCTCAGTGTTTATCTTTAGGATACTTTGCAAACATGTATGGGAGCTGAGAATATATCCTAAAAATGTTTTTCAACATTATGTGGATGTCTGTTGGCACCTTTGATGACCTTCTTCAAAGGCTATGACCCAGACTCTCCTG